CTAAATTTGTGACTTAAATTGTTTGACACAGAAGAGTGGGCGTCCCTTCATGTGTACGATTTTAAATTGAGACGTATGCGGTCCTAAGCAGTGATACGCCTTATCAGCATTTATACATTCATTTTCTGTTGTCCTTATTACAGATCTCATTAAGAGATGTTCTGTACTAATTAACTTATCAGATCTCATTCTCATCACAATGACATCAAATGAGCCCTGTCTAAGTCCGTTATTTTCCTTAGTTAAGGAAGTTATTTTCCTTAGTTAAGGACAATGAGGTATTAGGGCAATCCAGTGCTAATAATGTTTGCGGTGTTTCACATCAAATGACAAAATGAAGGAGTATGTATGTATACATTGCAATGTCAACAGGTAGCATAGTGGTTAGAGCATTGGGCCAGTAACTGAAAGGTTGCTAGTTCGAAACCCTGAGCCTACTAGGTGAAAAATCTGTCGATCTGACCTTGAGCAAGGTACCTTAACCCTAATTGCTCCAGGGTCACCGTCAACATTTCCATTTCACACCACACACTTGTACAGGTTACGCACTTGTACATATGTGAAACAGGACAGATATAAGCAGCCCCTATTTGACCTTGCCATTCTAAACACTACTAATCCCTGTCCTTTAGATCTGCCGTAAACTGACCTTGTCTCTTCCCTTTTTCCCGCTCATTATCTCCTTTCTTTGGTCCACCTTTCTCTTTTCTTCTCCTCTGTCTCACTCTACCGCTCCCTGCTGCAGATAACTTCCCTCAGATGGCTCATCAGAAGCGCTTCATCGAGCGGAAATACAGACAGGAGCTGAAAGAGATGAGACGAGATAGGGATCGCCAGGAGAAGGAGGGAGACGAGCCAGAGGACAGCAGGAAGTAACAGAGCCCCTCTCCGACCAATCGATATGGACAGAGCATTTTTTCGACCATTCAAGATGGACGATATTGAAGAGTTTAGGGAAGGTGCAGGAGGTGGAGAGATAAACAACTTCCAAACACTCTGAATTGCAAAATAAAAATATGTCCTCTCCTCGACTACTCCCCTTCATCTGCATCTGATTGGAGAAGATTTGACAGGTAAAAACAATATGGTGGAAGCTCATCATAAGGCTGGCTTTCACCTGGTCAGTTCATTCAGATCAATGGAAGGAGAGGATGTGAGGAGAGGACATCTTTTTTGGGCAATTGAGAAAGCACTAGTCTACAGTACACACCCTCTACTGTCTCGTCCCATTGGTTTGAGGATTGCCTTGCATTTTTAGGGTTTGTTTAGGTTTGTTTTGAGCTGCTTTTATGTGTATGTCTTAATCAATTGAATGTTGATTATGTAGTCAGGTTTTAAACTAAATCTAGAACATTGCTGGTTGTCGATCATGATTATAATGAATGGCAATGACAGAAATGCTTTGTTTTAAATGTCTTTTTTATTTGTACTGCAAGTGACATTGATAATAATTGATATGAATAAAGGTATTTGAAATGTTAATTGATTTGTCATTTCATGAAATCTGTCCTCTTGCCATACTCCTCATAATCAGTGTCTGACACCAAATCGCTCAATGGGAAAACTAGTAGTGGCATATCACGTGCACGTTATGAAGAGGAAAGCGTTAATATAATTCAAAGACATTAAATATGATGTAAAATGCCACCATCTGTCTTGCATCTGCTGCCTCTAACAATTTAAAATGTTTTCCACCGATTTGACAGTTTTTAAAGATCTTAATTATAGATAGTGTGTATTTAATGATTGCTTCAGTTCAGTAGCCACAGGTTCCATGCTATTAACCACTTTACTGTCTTGAATTTCAACATTCATCATAAGAACTTAAACTACCATAAAGCCAGGCTGACGTCATCCTAGGCAAAAACTAAGGGAACATGGCTAATGTGCAGACAGATGTTTTTATTTACAAATTAGTTTAAATGTTATTAGGGTTAAGGTAATGGTCCGTCCGTTTTAGATTTTGTCTAGTCGGGCTGTCAAGTGGATGCTGTTCAGAATAGTCCCTACGTTCTTCCTGCTGTATGTCTGTCAAAATGCCCAATGTTGGGACAACAAATATTTTCTGAATTCGAAACACTGATGTTTACACACAGAAACAAAATAAGGATGAATGCATGATTTAAAGATATTTAATCGTGTTGAGTCATATAAATATCCAGTACAAAAATCACATTGTACAAAGCAGATTAATGAATGGGCATTGAATCATGACGGGGCCCCTTTAAACTACTGCACATAATGTAACCTATCATAGTATTAATCCACATAGACAAAACTTAGGCTGCATTCCTATTCTCCACCCTTCTCCTGAAGTGTGCACTTGCACACTTTCTCACATAGTAAGTAAGCCATGGACAAGCCAGAACGGCCCATATGGGCAGGAGCCTATCTCCTCTTTCTGTAGCGTGAGGCAGCTTGACCCCCTGGAGAGGACGCTACTTGGATGGATATAACAATGGTGGAAACTCCCACTACCCAATGCTTTCACAATTCCTATGCTTTTAAATCCATGATTGGAAGTGTAAATGTGCTTTAGTGATGGGAGGAGAATCAGGATGCAGCCATACACTGCTCAATCACATAGTCAACAACATAATATGGAGGCAACCTTAAGGCTAACCAACCATGTCTACATTAACGCCCAACAGACCGGTCATATCTTTAGAAAGAGGACATCAGTACTATCTCTGGTCCAGAGTGTGAACAGGAAGCCTCAGCATAAGCAAACCACACTAACACCCTGGACCAGAGCTTACTATAGGTTAACCATATCTGGCAGCTAACATTTCGCTACAAACCCCCAATAGCATTAACTTGTGTTGTGACACTGCATGCTTGATGTACTGTTTTTTAAAAATGTATGTCCTTAGTTGAGCATGTTGTAAATGCTGAAAGGCAAGAACAGTCTCAATAAAGAAGCACAAACATGTATTTATAGTGACATGCTGCTGACACCCTGAATTAAATAGAGAAAATGGATGTACCAATCCCAGATTGCCCATTTAAAGAAATAAATTATGAGGGGAAAATAATAATGCACTCTTCTGTTGTCATTTTCTCTTGTAATTTAAACTAGATGTCTACCGTTCAGAGCAGAAGAGGAACGATTGTTTTTCAGTTCAGAGGGTTTAGGAACCCAAATGAATGCTTATCAAAGCAATGTTTGCCACAATCTCAAATAGTCACTTACACAGTGTGCACTCAATGGTCAAAGAAAAGAAATGCAAAAAGAAAATAACTTGCTGATTACAATTATTTAGCATATAATATAGTATACATTTTTAACAAGTGTGTTCTTGACTTAGAGGATTGTCTAAACTACCTCACCATTTTCATTGTTTACAGCCATTTATTTCTTTGAAAAACAATATATAATGTACAATTTGTGTGAATTGTGAATGCTGCGGACAGAGACAGGAAAATAATAACACCGTTGTTGTGGCAATTATGCCAGTTGTGTTATTAGTTTGAAATGTCTGCTAAATGTCATCCTTCTGCAGTGATACTATTGTTCAATTTGTATGTTTTGGCCTTGGGCAAGTTGCTTAATTTGAATTGCTCAATTTTCTTACTACGTATATGTCAAACCATTTCATGATGGCAAACCAATCTAATGACCATTTCATATGTATATGTCAAAACATTTTATGATCCCAATATTGTGTTGACCTGTACCTCTTATGTCAATCCCAACGAAATGTCAACACTCTTTCTTACAACTGAAAATGTAATCTTTCCCTTAATATCTAGCCTTTCTCCCAACATAGTCCCAATATGTCAGGCCTGCGAAACTTTGTCAAATGGATGGTCAACCATCAATTAATTACTCAGTTTAATTAACCAAGAAAAGCATAGAGTAAAACACTGAGTAAAGAATCATATTTAATTTGAACTGCATGTTTAGTTCATTAGGGTAACACTTTACAATAACCCTTTATAAAGAGTACCTTATTGCAAAGTGTTATTGACATTAGCTTTTCAGAGAGTCAGCGCTCTGAGGAGCTTTTTGGTCCAGGTGTTTCAGCTCCCCCCACAGAGAATGATGTCCCAAATGGCACCCTACTGTACCCTGGTACAAATGTAGTGCACTATATAGGGAATAGTGTGCCATTTGGGATGCAGAATATGTAAAGCTATGTGGAGATGTGGATCAGGTGTTGTTATTGACGGTCAGAAAGGTGACGGTCAGAAATGTGACGTCCAACCCATAGAAATAGAATGAGTAGAGTGGGTGTCCCCATTCAAGTCAATGATGCCACAGTGGGTGGACTGGCGGCCATTTTGACTGTACCCATAGAATTAGAGCATTATATTTCTATGGTCCAACCCCTCAGTCTCTTAGCATGGCTTTATGTGACTTCAAAAGAAGATTGTGACATACATAGCCAATGCTGTAAGGGAATGGGACGCTAGAAACCTGATAACAGAACTGTACAGCGTATTGTATCAATTTACAGATACACACAAGATAAGATATATCTCACAATATGCAGCTATTCATTCCAGAAACTCTGAACAATTCATAGGTGTTGTCTGTCAAGTTCACCAGAAAACCGCTTGCTGTTCGTCCCTCTGTTGCAGGCAGCTTTTGGAAAAACAGAAGAGAAGAAGTATGTTTGTATATAGAGATATATGTGGGGCCTGGTGCACAGAGTACACTACCCCCATATAAAACGAAGCGTCTTCTTGACAAGTATTTTCCTCAGGAGTCCCCAGCTGCCTTGCAGAGAGAGAGAGACCACTAATACAGGCAGGGTGCACCAAGCGTCGTCCTCCTGGTCCTCCAGAGAGGTCAAAGATCAACGGTGATCAACAACAGTAAAAGAACACTTTGACAAATACTGCCTTGTCTGTTTGTGTCTTTCTTGTTGTGTTCTATTGTTTGCCACTTTCACAAAGTACCAGGAGTTAAGTTCACTTTAGCTAGTGTGTGAGTGTTTGCTTGTTTGTTGTACACTTTCCTTTAGCTCCCCTCTTACGAGCTCCCTTCTCTCTGGTTAGGAATCCCTGCAGCCGTCACTGTCCTCTACCCCGTACATATCAGCTAGTTTTCTAAACCTGGGTCCCCACTCGCTCAGGTAGTTATAGTCCTGGTCTCCCTCCGTGGTCACGGAGCCCAGGGAGCTCAGGGACTCGGCCACCGAGCCGCTTCCCTCGTAGGCGTAGGTGGCCAGGGAGTCATAGGGCGGCGCTGTGGGGTCCTGGTCGTTGTCCTGGAGCCTTTGGTTTATGAATTCCCTGACGTCCGAGTTGTCCCTGTGGGCAGGGGGGAGGACCACGGTCCGACGGACAGGAGGATGCAGGGTCTCCGGCTTAATGTCCCTGCGCTGTTTGGTCTCCTCGATAGCCTCTGGGTTGCGCAGCGTGCCGATATCAAAGGCCTGGGTGTCCTCCTCTCCGCCCCCCTCATCGTTGTAGCTGACGACGTTGTCTCTCACATCCTCTTTGGAGATGATCAGAGGCTCCTTCTTCCTCTGTTGCCTCCTCAGGGCAGCGAACAGCACCACGATTACTACAGACACAAAGAGAGAGAGAGAGAATAACTTGAGTATGAGATGGGAGAGGAAAGGAAATGAGGTGAGGAATGTGCTTCGATCCTCAATAATGCATTGATAACGATTATTTCAGAAACAAGACAAAGAAATGCTTTTGAACTTTTGTTATTTTTCCCACCTGTGTTCCTTCTATTTTCTGAAGGATAGTTGGTGTCTGTTGGGAACCATTGGTGGTGTGCATACAGTATGTGGATACACTCACTGATAAACAGGGCTTTGGTGGGCTGAGACAGGCTTGAGCTGCCACAAAATACTTGGTATGGATTTGTATCACCTATCTAGCTCTGTGCAGTTGCAGTGAAGATAAGTAAACTGCAAGGAAAGGTTTGGCTAACAGAGATCAGAATATGACATGGCGTAAGTCAATGTCTTCTGAATGTGTTGCTTATCATCTGTGTGTGTTGATGTGATTGATGTTTTAATGTGCTGTATGTAAGACACATGCAAGATAAAATGTTCAATAAAGCGTTTTTAATTTAACTGAATTGTACAGTACTCACTGAGCAGTATGAGGACACAGATGATGATGGCCATGAGGGCTCCAGTGCTGAGCCCTGCGGTGAGGACCAGAGCTTCCTGGTTACACAGCTGCATGTTCCCCTCACGGTCGCAGGTACAAACACGCACAGTCAGGGTGTTGGTGCTGCTCTGCATGGGAAAGTCCCCGTCCGATATCACCACAGGAACCAGGTAGGTGCTCCTCTGTAGCCGGCTGTAGCTGTTCCTTCTGGTCAGGATCCAAGCCGTGTTGTCTGTTGGAGATAGACGTCTTAGAGTTGGATACTATACAAGTCAGCAGTGTTGTCTGTGGAGATAGACGTCTTTGAGTTGGATACTATATAAGTCAGCAGTGTTGTCTGTGGAGATAGATGTCTTAGAGTTGGATACTATACAAGTCAGCAGTGTTGTCCGTGGAGATAGACGTCTTAGAGTTGGATACTATATAAGTCAGCAGTGTTGTCTGTAAAGATAGATGTCTTTGAATTGGATACTATACAAGTCAGCAGTGTTGTCTGTGGAGATAGACGTCTTAGAGTTGGATACTATATAAGTCAGCAGTGTTGTCTGTGGAGATAGACGTCTTTGAATTGGATACTATACAAGTCAGCATTGTTGTCTGTGGAGATAGACGTCTTTGAGTTGGATACTATACAAGTCAGCAGTGTTGTCTGTGGAGATAGACGTCTTAGAGTTGGATACTATATAAGTCAGCAGTGTTGTCTATAAAGATAGACATCTTTGAATTGGATACTATACAAGTCAGCAGTGTTGTCTGTGGAGATAGACGTCTTAGAGTTGGATACTATATAAGTCAGCAGTGTTGTCTGTGGAGATAGACGTCTTTGAATTGGATACTATACAAGTCAGCAGTGTTGTCTGTGGAGATAAACGTCTTTGAGTTGGATACTATATAAGTCAGCAGTGTTGTCTGTGGAGATAGATGTCTTAGAGTTGGATACTATACAAGTCAGCAGTGTTGTCTGTGGAGATAGACGTCTTTGAATTGGATACTATACAAGTCAGCAGTGTTGTCTGTGGAGATAGACGTCTTAGAGTTGGATACTATATAAGTCAGCAGTGTTGTCTGTGGAGATAGACGTCTTTGAATTGGATACTATACAAGTCAGCAGTGTTGGCTGTGGAGATAGACGTCTTAGAGTTGGATACTATATAAGTCAGCAGTGTTGTCTATAAAGATAGACGTCTTTGAATTGGATACTATACAAGTCAGCAGTGTTGTCTGTGGAGATAGATGTCTTAGAGTTGGATACTATATAAGTCAGCAGTGTTGTCTGTGGAGATAGACGTCTTTGAATTGGATACTATACAAGTCAGCAGTGTTGGCTGTGGAGATAGACGTCTTCGAGTTGGATACTATATAAGTCAGCAGTGTTGTCTGTGGAGATAGACGTCTTTGAATTGGATACTATACAAGTCAGCAGTGTTGGCTGTGGAGATAGACGTCTTAGAGTTGGATACTATATAAGTCAGCAGTGTTGTCTGTGGAGATAGACGTCTTAGAGTTGGATACTATATAAGTCAGCAGTGTTGTCTGTGGAGATAGACGTCTTCGAGTTGGATACTATATAAGTCAGCAGTGTTGTCTGTGGAGATAGACGTCTTCAAGTTGGATACTATATAAGTCAGCAGTGTTGTCTGTGGAGAGGCACTGAGGAGTAAGCAGCTATAGGCTATGTTGTCTGTTAGACACTTTAGAGTTAGCTACTATACAAGTTAGATATAGGAATGTTCCCCAGTTTCAAAGAAGTTTGTTTCTTTCAATAAAGTTTATTGTCTCCAATTAATAGCCTTAAATATTATATTAGAGTGTGCTTAAATATATATGAATAGGTGAGGTTGACAAATTGCTGTGTTGGGGAAGCTACTCCGAAAATATAGATTATTAAGGTACCAATTATCTCACACTTGAAGAAGTTAAACTACCATTAAGTGTTTACTTAACGTAACTATCCAATGTTTCCAGATTTCTATGAAATATGACCTATAATTAATTACTGAGTGAAATATTGTTTTCAAAAAAAAAATATTAAGTATGGTAAAAAGCAGTTTTCTGTGTTGGAATGGTGTGGGCGTATACCGGTCATAAAAAATATTCACAGAGTAGACTGCTGATTGGCCAGCTCAGCCAAATAGCCAACATGACATATTCAATGAGGAAATAGCAAGTATTTTTTTAAACGGTCTGTTTGAGATACAAGTTGGAGGTGTTCTTTATGTGTTTTTTCTCCAATTTATCCTTTGGCCACAAATATGAGTATAAGACGTGTCAACAACATTATTTAGGTATGAGTTAACAGAATATGAACGTATAAAAATATTCACGGGCGGCAGGTAGCTTAGTGGTTAAGAGCGTTGTGCCAGTAACCGAAAGGTCGCTGGTTCTAATCCCCGAGCCGACTAGGTGAAAAATCTGTCGATGTGCCCTTGAGCAAGGCACTTAACCCTAATTGCTCATGTAAGTCGCTCTGGATAAGAGCGTCTGCTAAATGACAAAAAAAATAAATAAAAATAATAATAAAAAAAAAAGGTTAAAAAATGGGTAAAAAAAAACAAAAAAACAATGTACTTTAACTAAAGTTGCTATGAAAAAGTAGTTCACTACTTCTTGGTAAATTATCATGTCTAAATCTGAAACGTTATAGACTACAAATTGCAAGAACAGATTTAGCCTATTAAACACTAAAACTATGTTTCAATGTGAGAATTAGGCAGGTCTGATGCTGAAAATGTAAGGAAATGCTTGCCTCCTTCACCCATATTTAATTAGAATTTTGCCCAAAAAAGTAATGTGTAGTTCCAGTAGTTAGCTCACCGCTACATGGTAAAAAAAATAAAAATATTAACTACTAGTTGAACTACTGAATGTAGTTCAACTACCACCAAACTACTGCAAAATGTTGTTACAAGTTGAACTACTTGTAGTTCACTACTGTGATCACGGCTGCTGTGGAAAACATTTGTTTTGAAAAAACTAAATAAAAAAAACTGGTTATTAATTAACTTGTGTGTCAGCTGTTGTTCTCCAAGAAGAAGTGTACCTTTGTTGTCTCGGACGGTGAAGTTGGCTTTCCCTGAGACCTCGTGTGCTAGACTGAAGAAGAATCTGTGTCCACTGATAGGCTCGTCAGCATCTGTAGCGCTCACTGTCTGAATCCTCTGAGAAAGGTAAGAAAAATATGATCAAACACAGATGACATACTTCTTCTTCTTTTGTCATGTCTTTATCCAGATGAACAAGACAAAAGTGTTAAGGAGAGAAGGGAGCTCTAATGTTAAACCTGAAAACCCTCCGGTATAAGGTCATTTTCTGTGACCGAGGCAAGGTTTAACTGATGAAGGTACGATCAGTTGGGGGATCTTAGGTGGGAAAGAAGACTTACTGTAGTGGTTTAAAATAATAATACATGGTTTTCCATTACCTGGTTAGCCTTGGCGTTTTCACAGACGAATGTTTCGTAGTAAGTGGCGAATGTAGGAGCGTTGTCATTAATGTCCAGTACTCTGATGTACACTGGTACGCGGCTCATCAGCCGTGGATTGTCTTTGAAACACAGAAACATTACATTTAATAACCACACCAAGGAAACACAATAACTGCCTTTGATATGATTACTGCTCATAGTACTGTACATGTAACTACTAGAAGTAATTGTAGTAGTTCACTGACACACATATACACACACCCAATTTCCACTTGTACCGATGGAGTGGATCGTATGTATGTATGTGTGTGTGTCAATGATCAACATGCTACTTACTGAACTCAGTGGCGATGACAGAGATGTTGTGCCAAAGGTTCGCCTCTCTGTCCAGAGTCGTTAGCATGAACACTGAGCCGTTACCCGGGTGCACGTTGAACACCCTGTCCATGTCTGTATGCCGGTCAATTGAGTACCTGCACATAGCAAACAACAACTATAAGCATCCTCTTCACTTTCTCACAACACAAACAATTATAAGCTGCCTCATTTTCTTTCACACAAACCCAATGCACCGGGACCTTGGCTGTGAGGCAGTGTATTAAGAGTACCTGCACAACACAAACAACAAATATAAGCTTCCTCACAGCCAATATTCACAAGAATATTATACACCCTGTCTTAGTCTGCGCGCTGTTCTATCGAGTACTTGTATCTGCACAAAACAAACAAGTATAAATGTCCTCACTTTCTTTCACAGAAACCCACAACAATACATCATACTGCTACATACAGTATATCATCCAATTTGAAAGCAATTTGGATGACTGACATTTGTAGTCTGGTTGTTCCGCTAAAAATAGAACGACTCCAAAAATGTTTATCTGTGCTATCATGGTGGAGGGGTCCTAATGGCTGTTTGGAGATACACTCGCACACGAATGCATGCACACACAAACATAAATGCATAAACACACACACAAACAGGTTATCTAGTGTTGTTTTTCTTCACTTCCTGAGGACGAGTGTGATACATCAGTTTGATTAATGGAGTAGCGGATGTAGGTTGCATCCCAAATGCACCCTATTCCCTATATAGTGCACTACTATTGTCCAGGGCTCATAGTGCTATATAGGGAATAGGGTGCCATTTGGGACACAAACATAGACATTGAAGAGAGCAGGGGAGTAGATGGGGGAAGCAGACCCCCGGAGGGGGTGTGCGTGAACCAGGTCTCTCAGGGACCATGCACCACCGCACCCCTACCCTCATCTCCTTTCTCCCTATCTCCCCTCTCCGTCTACTGTCTAATCCTCTACCCTTCCACAGCCAGTATTTTTAGTTGTTTACCAGCACAAACCGTTTTAGCATTTTTATCTAAACACACACAGGCTCTCTTTGCCCCTCTTGCTTCCGACAGCAAGTCTAAACTCGTTATATCTGTCCTGTTGGGGTGCCAATTGCCTTTCTAATATTCTCAATAATTCAGTTGGCTGGGCCTGGACCCTCCCCTGATTAATTACACCAGATAAAAGTGTGTGTGTGTGCTACTCTCATCCCCTCCTCTCTCCTCTCTTCTCATTCCCTCTCCTTGCTTCTCATCCCCTCTCCTTTCCTCACTTCTCATCTCCTCCCCTCCCCTCCCCTCCCCTCGTCACCCTACTCTCTAAATGCCACAAAGCACATCCTTTTTGATGAGCGCTGATAAAAGTGAATGATACCATATTTGACACCAGTAATAAAGTGCTCTAACTTCTAGCCTCGGCAGGCACTCCAGGATAACACTCTCTCTCTGATCACCACACTGTGATTGAGGAATGCGCTGCTACTGGCAGGAGTTGTTTAGACTGTATTTGTAACTCAAGTACAGTAAAATATTTGAAAGTAAACAGATAATATGTTGACCCAGGCCTGCTGACCACTAGTAGATGTCTCAGGAGCTGTGTGCATATGTAGTACCTGACAGGGCTGCGGCTACTGTCTGGGTCTGTGGCACTGACCGATCCGATGATGGTGCCTAAGGCCGAGTCCTCTTTGACCTCCATGACGTAGCTGACCCGGTCAAACACCGGCGGCTCGTCCACATCCTCCACGATCAACTTGACCGTCGCCTCGTCCGTAGTCGCCGCGTAGCGCAGGAACCGTGGGTCAGGGTTGGAGTTCTCAACCTGGATCCTTAGAGTGTACAACCGCTTCCTCTCAAAGTCCAGAGGCTGAGGAGAGAGAGAGAAGAGGGTTAACAACTCACACGCCAGTTAACACATTTTTGTTTAACTTTCTTTCCCTCTCACACACACAAATCCTTTGACATGCAACACTTTTGTTGTCTAAGCAATACACACACAGACACACACAGCGAGATACACACAGACACACATCATCAACAATTGAATTAATTCAGTGTGACTCAACCTCTCCCTCTTTTCATGTGTCTGGGTGCTATCCTTTCTTTAGTAAATGAACTTGGGTATGCAGTGTAAAAAGGGCTTAAAGGATGAAAAAAAGAAAAAATACATATTCTCTGGTTGAAAACGGCCTATGTGGCATCGATATTGGTCATCAACACGTGTTCTGTTGCCAAAATTGTAAATATAATAATTTGGGTCATAATGTCAGTATTTTCCAAAACAGAGGTTTGCGGGATTTAAGAAATCCAGTGTCCTTGTATATTTGAGAGTTTGGATTTCAGTCATGTCCACAATTATGCCCAGTAACACGAACAGCTGGCAGCACCCATCTAAATGATCGGAGCATGCAATAAGGGTGAATGGGAAAACAGCTGCGCGCTAAACAGTCATAGCAGCAGAACCAACCTAAATAAAGCCTGCCCATTTCTTTATTGGCAGCAGAACTACCCATTAGCACACAGTGCCTCACACTTGTTTACATGAGACAACAATAGGTACAAGACAATGTTATGTTGAAAGAACGATAAATGGTTTGGGTTCTTTCCAACTCAAACTTCCTCACATTTGTGAACTAACATTAGCATCACAAACACAATTTATTCCTTTAGCCAAAGTCCTGGTACGGTGGCGGTTTGGGGATATCTCAACTACAGTGAGTGAAGAGGAACAAGCTAAAAGTACGATATAGCGAACATAACACACCCATATCAAACCACACCCCCAAGACGCAATTCGTGTTTCAGAAATTGTATTTCTTAATGAGGCGGAAAAGCCAGGCGAAATCAGTGAGTTCAGACCCCCTTTAAACCGCTATTCTCTTCTCTCCTCTCTCGGTGTGAGTCCCAATAATCTCTCCTTTCTTGAAAGGAAATGACTGGTATATGGTAACTCCATCTAGCTAATGCATACACCAATTCAACTCTTTTAAATTTGTAGGGAGTAGTTTACGAGTGCACACTTCAGGAGGAAGGAGAGATGATTGGGTTGAAACCTCTGGCTCTGTTCTTCACCTTTAAGGTCACACTAATGCTGTCTGGAGAGAACACATCTGACGTGTGATTTTAGTTGTGAGGGAGCTACTAACAAATTCAGGCCTCCAGTCATTGAACAAAAGGTGTGTGTGTGTGTGTGTGTGTGTACGTGCAGCTGTGCAGGTTTTTCCAATGAGCTTTCAACTGAGCATTGTCTGTACAGCACTTTATATCAATCAAATACAGTAATTTGATATGACCCCTCATACTCAATAAGTCATTGATTGATTTTCTCCTGCTCTGCTCTCTAGACAGGGGTTTGATGATGTCAACATGAACATGTGTTGTTTGGGGACAGCGGTGCAGGAAATGCCCTTTAACTAGACAAGCCATTTAATTAGAGTAGGTTCAGATGTAGACCAGACCCTGTGTACACACACACACACACACACACACACACACACACACACACACATAGCTTAGATCCCTCCAAGATCATTACAACAGTAACATCAGCAGAAGGCAATTACATCTTCCTCCACTCAATAATGACCTGATGGAAGTGAAGTGATCAATTTAAAGCTACACCGGAGGAGGGAGCGCTTGAAAAAGCAACAATCTGATTATTTTTAATACATCAAAACATACAACAGCTCAGCTCCACTGGCTGGTACTGGTGAAAGCCATACCTAGTATCAATAGTCTATCTGACATGACTGGATAAATGTAAGCAATATGGCAAAAATTCCAACCATCCAAAAGGCAAGGTGAAGCAGTTAAAGGGATACTTCGGGATTTTATCACTTCCCCAGAGTCAGATGAACTTGTCGATACCATTTTTATGTCTCTGCGTGCGGTTTGAATGGGGTTGCTAACTAGCGCTAGCGCAATTACTAACTAGGGGCTAGGGCTCTAGGGAGTCAGCCTGGCCTCAGAGCCATACGAAACATACTTTAAGTATTTCTGAGCACCTCCAAGAAGTATTATACCTACATAACTGTCTAGTTACTTTAGACAGGAACTAAAGTAGGGACGTTGGTCGGGGAGGATGGGTGGGTGTAATCTGCGACCAATCCAAAGGGTGCGTGTCCAAGTCGCGTCTGGGACAACTGTAGCATTTTAGCTTCCCCTTCCCCTAACCCTTATTCTAAACTTAACCCAATTCACCTAACCTGTTATGTAAATTCACCTAACCTTTTACGTAAATTATCCTAATCTTTGTCATTAGTTCCCCTAACCGCCAACGTACATTTTCTCCTAATTCTCCTTTGTTGTTACATCATATCAAGCAACCTGGTCTCAGATAAAGAATTATAATACTATTCGTCCTCCAAGATGTGTGATAAGTTACATCATCCAATTCGTATGCTATTGTACAACTAGGAAATACATACTACACTATATGTCGTATAACTCGTATGATACTGTACAACCGCTATTCCATTCATAATTGAGGGGCTAGGTGTGGATTTGGAATCCAGCCTTAATGAATGAATGTAAAATGTTAATGAACAAGTGCCCAAAGTGGTAGGGTCTAGCGGCTAGGGGCTATGGTTCAATTTGGAATCCAGCCATACTGACCTTCCTGAGGGTGATAACACCTAGGGAGTAGGGTCGAGTGCCTCGTGAACCAGGGACTAGGGGCTCTATTTTCGGCCGGTGTTAATGCTAGTGTCAAATGCACGTTCATTGGCAATTTCGACCTGTTACAGCCAGCCCTCTGCTATTTTCAAATTTTTACGCAAGGATTGGTAATTGTATCTGTCTTATATCAGCTCGCTTGCGCTCAGATGGGAGGGATGTAAATATTTGATGTGTGTCCTTAAAAATGTGATCCAAAGTGCTAATTTCAGGCAGCGCTGGTAGGGATATTTAAGACAAACCAAAAGTTGGTTTAAGCGGTAACGCAGTTGGTTATGGCATGAATTTTGACAGCGGAAACTATTCAGCCTATCCAGCCTAGCTTATAATTTTTTGACATTAGCAACAAAGTTATGCTACATGTGTCCATGCCCATCATGAAACGAAAGATGAGTACCTTGGTGAATACCGGTGAACCTCGTATTTAGAAGTTATTTTCATATAACAATAGCTTGTTTTCCGTTCAAAACCCTCCGTAGGCTACCCATACTATCCTAGGCCTACTATAACAAAGGCTGGTTCAACAGCAATTCGTTGTCTTTTTTTATCCTGGCAATTTTAAACAATGACATTTTACATTGATTTATTTTTGTTGTTGTTAAAAAAAAAAAAAAAAAAACAGATAGCTTGTTTTTCGTTACATTTTATTAAAACCAAACTTATTAGAACAATTCACCATCCTGGTTTTATGTTGAGAACGTCCGTCGTTCGCATGCAATGTAACTTTTGGAGAAGTGTGAATGCGATATGTAAGATGGTTCCAATATGTTTATAAAACATTATATTTGGGAGCAGTATAACGGTGAGTGGACATTCCCCCTTTCTCTTTATATAGGGTCTTTATCCAGCTCCTGTGAAAAGTTTGGATGTGCCTAAAACCCTCCATAGTCTAAGTTGCCTTGTTTGTATCATACGCCATATCATATCATATCATATCATAGGAGAACAATTATGGTGCCTGTAACTGTATTTAGACATAGCCTATTTAAATCAAGTTGTTGTTTTTATTAGAATTTGATTAGAATTATACACTGTATTTTAGACCTTATCGTAGCCTAGTGAATTTAATCTTGCTTATTGAGTACGTTTGGCATGTCCACAGGCTGCAATTTACAGTAGGCCTAGCCCCTGTATCAGTATGGATGCTATAGCCTATGTTTAACAATGTACACTATATATACAAAAGTATGTGGAAACCCCTTCAAATTAGTGGATTTGGCTATTTAAGCCACACCTGTTGCTGACAGGTGTATAAAATCGAACACACAGCCATGCAATCTCCATAGACAAACATTAGCAGTAGAATGGACTTACTGAAGAGCTCAGTGACTTTCAAAGTGGCACAGTCATAGGATGCCACCTTTCCAACAAGTCAGTTCGTCAAATTTCTGCCCTGCTAGAACTGCCCCGGTCAACTGTAAGTGCTGTTATTGTGAAGTGGAAACGTCTAGGAGCAACAACGGCTGAGCCGCAAAGTGGTAGGCCACACAAGCTCACAGAACGGGACCACAGAGTGCTGAAGAGCTTAGAAATTGTCTGTCCTCAGTTGTAACACACACTACCGAGTTCCAAACTGCCTCTGGAAGCAATTTCAGCACAATAACTGTTCGTTGGGAGCTTCATGAAATGGGTTTCCATGGCCGAGCAGCCGCACACAAGCCTAAAATCACCATGTGCAATGTCAAACGTTGGCTGGAGTGGTGTAAAGCTCACCACCATTGGAATCTGGAGCAGTGGAAACGCGTTCTCTGGAGTGATGAATCACGCATCACCATCTGGAAGTCCGACGGACGAATCTGGGTTTGGCGGATGCCAGGAGAACGCTACCTGCTCCAATGCATAGTGCCAACTCTAAAGTTTGATGGAGGAGGAATAATGGTATGGGGCTGTTTTTCATGGTTCTGGCTAGGCCCCTTATTTCCAGTGAAGGGAAATGTTAACGCTACAGCATACAATGACATTCTAGACGATTCTCTGATTCCAACTTTGTGGCAACAGTTTGGGGAAGGACCTTTCCTGTTTCAGCATGACAATTACATTTAACATTTTAGTCATTTTGCAGACGCTCTTATCCAGAGCGACTTACAGTTAGTGAGTGCATACATTTTCATACTGGCCCCCCGTGGGAATCGAAAGCCTTCCCAGAAGAGTGGAGGCTGTTATAGCAGCAAAGTGGAGACCAACTCCATACTAATGTCCATGATTTTGGAATGAGATGTTCGACAAGCAGGTGTCCACATACTTTTGGTCATGTAGTGTATTTCCATATTGAAGCAATGCAATTAGAACAATGTGGACTGCAAACATGTTCTAGGCTATAGCGGACTAACATTCAAATTGGAGTTGATGACAATGCAATACATGAAAGACCGTAAATAAATAACTTGAAGCAACCACATATTTAGCAATGGAGCATGTTCTGATTGGCCAGTGAGGGGCCAAGCCTCTACACACCCACAACTTATTTAATCATCAAAACCCAGCACTTTCGCGCCACCGCCAGGAACTGCGGCCATAATTATGGTTGTGAAAACAGAAGAAAAAAAATCTGACACACCCCGGAACCTATAGCGCTACCACCAGCCCTTAGATTTACTATTGCGTTAGGTTTGTTGAAATAGACCGCTAGGAGTGATTTGGAATCCAGCCATACTGAAGGAGTGTCCTAGGAATTAGGGGAATAGGGATATGGGCTAGTGGTAGATTAGGAATGCAGCCATTCACTGACCTTCCTGAGGGTGATGACACCCTCCTGTGTGCTCCTATTGGTTGAAATGTCAAACATGGCTGGGCCGTCACTGCTGGTGATTCGGTAGTTCATCTCAGCGTTCCTGCCGATGTCAGCGTCTGTAGCTCGCAGCACGGCCACCGTCGAGCCGGGCTCTGTCGACTCTGGAGCTTTGAACTCATACAGACCTGGAGGAAAGACACGGACACACACACACACACACACACACACACACACACACACACACACACACATTAGTTGTTGTTGTTCCATCTGTAACACCTGGACCACCCCCTTAATTCAAACATTTTAATCCATCTTAAAAGCCAACATTAATCAATCACGTATCATTTGTTCAACGTGAATACATTGGCACATACATAGTTATTTTTAACGGGTGATTTCCTGATTTGTGCCAGATAAATTAATGCTTTCCTGACTGCCAGCTAGAGCATCTCACTGTATCTCATATGATTAAATAAATAGCTGGCTTGGTCTGCAGGGGGATGGAAATGATATACACACAGGCTGCAGAGACAAACACTACTGACACCCTCATAAAACACGCTGACAGCGTTCTGGCAACGCCCGAGTCGGCAGGACTCTGTCTCACGCGCACACGCACACACAGACAGGCAGGTACACACGCATACGCACACACACAGGCATAGACACACACACACACACACACCACTATGGAGAGGTTTCCCAGGCTAACAGGTATTTAGCATTGGGTCGAGAGGAGGAAGCATCAGTCTTGCAGACAACAATGATATCGCTGCCTGACACTCTGCCTCCTCCGGGTGTCCCATTACAATATCCACTTGCTCTCACTCTGTCTTTCTCTTTCTCTCTTCATCCCTCCTTCCCTCCCTCTATTTATTCCTCCCGTCTCACCTTCATTTCCTTTCTATCCATCTCTACCCCCCTACCTCTCTCTCTCTCTCCCTCCCCTCCTCTGTCCCTCCCTCACTCCCTGTCCTGTCCATTGAGGTGAGGTGCAGTGACAGTGTTTTTCTCCCTGTTGGAGAGGGTGATAAATGGAGGTAGGGTTTCTACGGTTGTATGCGTTTTGTCATGTGAAGAGCTGTTTGGCTTGTATGTGTTGATTCAATCCAAGTGTAACACACACACACACACACACACAGACACACACACACACACACACACAGTGCTGTTATTGAGAGGAAACAAAATGACACCAGTAATCTGTCAATCTGATATATTTGCAATTCGCCAGATGCACCAGAGATGGAAAGAGCAAGGGAGAGAGAGGGGGACAAGACACAGCGTGTGAGAGGAGATAGAGGGAAAGTGGGATAGATGGTGAAGGTGAGATGGTTGGCAAAATAAGCACTTTGAAAAGAAACTAGAAAAGAAAACTAGAAACAAAGGACATTAGCGGAGCCACACACAGTGACATTGAGAGTATTGGAAAGAGAAAGACTGAGAGAGAGGGATCAGGAATGACAGCAAGGGAGGGACGAAAAGTGATAGTTAGAAGGAGATAAAAAGAGAGCGAGAAAGAGAGCGAGAAAGAGAACAATCCTACAGAGTACTCTTTTCATTTAATAGGGATTACCAGGCTGATACCAGATTGATCTGATGCACTGTGCAGGACCCTTCCCTCTGTCACATGGCTTTACATTTAATTATACCCAGCCTTCCAGAGAGCGCTGCAGTCACACACATACATACACACACACAGACACCTCAGCCGCAGCTACAGCAGCACAGTACCACTCGCTGCAACAATCCACATTAATTTCGAAATTGACACCAGATGGAGGCTGCCTTCTTGGCACGAGCCTTCTGTATTGTGAACTGAGTTTTAATTTCAGGGGGCTGGTGTGTGTGTGTGTGTGTGTGTGTGTGTGTGTGTGGGGGGGGGGGGGGCTTATGGTGTGTGTGTGTGTGTGTGTGTGTGTGTGTGTGTGTGTGTGTGTGTGCATGCCTGTGTGTGTGTGTGTGAGTGCACCCTCTGTCTTTGTGTGTGCACTATACTCACTCTTGGGGAAGCGTGGTGGGTTGTCATTGACATCAGAGAGGGTGATGCTGACTGTGGTGGTCCCTGACAGCCCACCCATCTGGCCAGCCATGTCTTTAGCCTGGATCACAACGACATAGTTCTCCTTCGTCTCCCTGTCCATGTTTGGCAGGGCTGTCTTGATCACACCTGAAAGAAAAAGACAGACAGAGAGATGTAAGATTAGATACTTCTGATGCATATATTTCTTCATATAGCGGTGTTCCGTAAGAATATATTTAAAATAATAATAACCAAATAACACTCATGCCTTTCTTGCACTAACACTTACACTTCTCTTTTCTTAATAGCACTGACTTTGCTGATAGCTGCTTTATTGAGGAAAGGTTTTACTTACTATGACTGTGATATATGGTTGTCTTACCTAGCTATCTTAAGATGAATAACTAACTGTAATTCGCTCTGGATAAGAGTGTCTGCTAAATGACTAAATATAATGTATATATCAGTCGTGTAGTGGAGGGTAAACGCAATTTACGCACCTTTGTTATTTTGTGCAAACTTTTTACCCACCTTTTGCGAGGAAATGCATCGAAAGCATAGGGAGAGTTACTTAACTCACCTCGAATGGCGGTCAGCGCTTACACACGTTTTTTTTATCACTACATCACTGTTATATACAGTGGCAAGAAAAGGTATGTGAACCCTTTGGAATTACCTGGATTTCTGCATAAATTGGTCATAAACTTTGATCTGATCTTCATCTAAGTCACAACAATAGACAAACACAGTCTGCTTAAACTAATAACACACAAATTATTGTATTTTCTTGTCTATATTGAATACATCATTTAAACATTCACAGTGTAGGTTGGAAAAAGTATGTGAACCCCTAGGCTAATGAGTTCTCCAAAAGCTCATTGGAGTCAGGAGTCTGCTAACCTGGAGTCCAATCAATGAGACGAGATTGGAGATGTTGGTTAGATCTGCCCTGCCCTATAAAAAACACTCACAAAATGTTACTTTCCTATTCACAAGAAGCATTGCCTGATGTGAACAATGCCTCGAACAAAAGAGATCTCAGAAGACCTAAGATTAAGAATTGTTGACTTTCATAAAGCTGGAAAGGGTTACAAACGTACATTTGAAGTCGTAAGTTTACATACACTTAGGTTGGAGTCATTAAAACTAGTTTTTCAACAACTCCACAAAATTCTTGTTAACAAACTATAGTTTTGGCAAGTCGGTTAGGATATCTACTTTGTGCGTGACACAAGTAATTTTTCCAACAATTGTTTACAGACAGATTATTTCACTTATAATTCACTGTATCACAATTCCAGTGGGTCAGAAGTTTACATACACTAAGTTGACTGTGCCTTTAAACAGCTTGGAAAATTCCAGAAAATGATGTCATGGCTTTAGAAGCTTCTGATAGGCTAATTTACATAATTTGAGTCAATTGGAGGTGTACCTGTGGATGTATTTCAAGGTCTACCTTCAAACGCAGTGCCTCTTCGCTTGACATCATGGAAAAATCAAAAGAAATCAGCCAAGACCTCAGAAAAGAATATGTAGACCCCCACAAGTCTGGTTCATCCTTGGGAGAAATTTCCAAACACCTGAAGGTACCACGTTCATCTGTACAAACAATAGTATGCAAGTATAAACACCATGGGACCACGCAGCCGTCATACCGCTCAGGAAGGAGACGCGTTCTGTCTCCTAGAGATTAACGTACTTAGGTGTGAAAAGTGCAAATAAATCCCAGAACAACAGCAAAGGACCTTGTGAAGATGCTGGAGGAAACAGGTACAAAAGTATCTATATCCACAGTAAAACGAGTCCTATATCGACATAACCTGAAAGGCCGCTCAGCAAGGAAGAAGCCACTGCTCCAAAACCGCCATAAAAAAGCCAGACTACGGTTTGCAACTGCACATGGGGACAAAGATCGTACTTTTTGGAGAAATGTCCTCTGGTCTGATGAAACAAAGGGGGATGCTTGCAAGCCAAAGAACATCATCCCAACCGTGAAGCACGGGGGTGGCAGCTTCTTGCTGTGGGGGTGCTTTGCTGCAGGAGGGACTGGTGCACTTCACAAAATAGATGGCATCATGAGGAAGGAAAATTATGTGGATATATTGAAGCAACATCTAAAGACATCAGTCAGGAAGTTAAAGCTTGGTCTCAAATGGGTCTTCCAAATGGACAATGACCCCAATCATACTTCCAAAGTTGTGGCAAAATGGCTTAAGGACAGCAAAGTCAAGGTATTGGAGTGGCCATCACAAAGCTCTGACCTCAATCCTATAGAAAATGTGTGGGCAGAACTGAAAAAGCGTGTGTGAGCAAGGAGGCCTACAAACCTGATTCAGTTACACCACCTCTGTCAGGAGGAATGGGCCAAAATTCACCCAACTTATTGTGGGAAGCTTGTGTAAGGCTACCCGAAACGTTTGACCCAAGTTAAACAATTTAAAGGCAATGCTACCAAATACTGATTGTGTATATGTAAACATCTGACCCACTGGGAATGTGATGAAATAAATAAAAGCTGAAATAAAAAATTCTCTACTATTATTCTGACATTTCACATTCTTAAAATAAAGTGGTGATGCTAACTGACCTAAGACAGGGAATTTTTACTAGGATTAAATGTCAGGAATTGTGAATAACTGAGTTTAAATGTATTTGGCTAAGGTGTATGTAAACTTCCAAATTCAACTGTATCTCTAAAAGCCTTAATGTTCATCAGTCCAGGCTAAGAAAATTTGTCTATAAATGGAGAAAGTTCTGCACTGTTGCTACTCTCCCTAGGAATGGCCGTCCTGCAAAGATGACTGCAAGAGCACAGTGCAGAATGCTCAATGAGGTTAAGAAGAATCCTAGAGTGTCAGCTAAAGACTTACAGAAATCTCTGGAACATGCTAACGTCTCTGTTGACGAGTCTACGATACGTAAAACACTGAACAAGAATGGTGTTCATGGGAGGACACCACAGAAGAAGCCACTGCTGTCCCAAAAAAAGCAGTGCTGCACGTCTGAAGTTCGCAAAAGAGCACCTGGATGTTCCACAGCGCTACTGGCAAAATATTCTGTGGAAAGATTAAACTAAAGTTGAGTTGTTTCGCAGGAACACACAACACTATGGGTGGAGAAAAAAAGGCACAGCACAGCACACCAACATCAAAACCTCATCCCAACTGTAAAGTATGGTGGAGCTAGCATCATGGTTTGGGGCTGGTTTGCTGCCTCAGGGCCTGGATATAGACGCTCTGTCTCTCTGTGGTATACAGTACAGTTGCGTTCCATATATACATACAACAAAAACAAAAAATCTAGTTTTTCAGTCAGGACAGAGGTTCAGTGAAGCTCTAATTGACTACATATTAAAAGCAGCGCTCTGCTTCCTTCTCCTCCTGTCTGTCAGATATTGAGCTGCCGTGGCTTTTGTCATCCATTTGAAGCATCAAAACTACAGAGACTGTTACAGTAAAATACAGAAATAGAAGGAAAAAACACTAAATCAATTGCATCGACAGAGTTCACGGGTTCAAATCTCTTTTTCCAAAAAGGAAATTCATTGAATATCAAACAATAGGCGATCTAAGGGCTGATGCAGCACGTCACTCAAACCTAGATCTAAGTAGCGTCGGTGAAAGGCACAGTGAATGCAGGGCTATACAACTCTCATCCTGCTTTTTTATCACATAGGATGTGGCAGCAGGAGAGGAGCAAGGCACAGAGGCGCGCGTGTGTGTGTGTGTGTGTGTGTGTGTGTGTGTGTGTGTGTGTGTGTGTGTGTGTGTGTGTGCGTGTGTGTGTGTGCGTGTGTGTGTGTGTGAAGCGCTGAGGGAAGATGCAGCAGAATTCGTTTTTCCTAACAAAGCACAATCTTACTCGCTGAAGGACAGCTAGCAACTCTCTCCTGAAAAACATGCTAGTCCATTCAAGTAGTGCTGAGGGGGGAAAATACACATAGATGTGTATTGGTGCATGTATACACCAATACACAGTCTCTGAATGCATCTCTCTGCCCTTTCTATCTCTCTTTATCTTTCTTCTGTCTCTCGTTCTCCCTCTCTCTCTAGTCGTTATTTCTCTCACTCTGTCTATTCTCTCTCTTTCTCTCACTCCACACAAACAAACACGGGAAGACACACAGAGAGAGAGAGAGAGAATCATGCTGATGTCCAAGCCTGCCTTTGTGTAGGGGGGATGTCAGCTTACATGGCACATCTGGGATAAACCATATTACTGTTAAGCCCTGCACTAATCTGCAAATTGATTTTTTTGTTGCAATTTCCCTTTTGTTTAAGCAAACAACACACCCGGGTCCATTCCAAAGCACACATTACAAATGATTAAATCTAGCAGTGATGACTGAGCCATGGGCTTGAAAGGCGGCGGTTGGCAGAGGTTCTGCCCTTCTTTTCTGTCATGTCTCTTCAGTCTGACATGGGAGTTAATAGCCGTGTTGTTCACACACACACACACACACACACACACACACACACACACACACACACACACACACACACACACACACACACACACACACACACACAGACTTTGGGTTTCATTCAGGTGCTAGATGAAACTTCAGTAAGGCAGGGAAGTGGCACCTTGTGTGTGCTGTTCCCTGTTGACTCTCTGTGATCATTACCCCCTCGAGCCACCGATAGACTATAGAGGGTAATTATTATAGAACTCTGTATTTGCATTGTAACTGACCCTACCTCTCCTTTCTGTCTACAGAAGAAGAAGAAAGATGGGGTGCCTGTTGACACTGACCTGTGTTGGGCTCCACAGAGAAATATGGCTGTCCCTGTAGGATGCTGTAGACCACCCTGGCACTGTTACCATACGTAGCGTCGTCAGCGTCTGTAGCGGTCACCTGCATCACCACTGTGCCTGGGGAAGGAAGGAGGAAGGAGAAGAAGAGAGTGACTTGGTGAGCAAAGTTATACACATGGAATGGAGTCAGGTGGTGTTGGTGAACAATCTCAATAGCACAACTTCCTGAATAAGGCCAATAAAATGAACTGGGCTGAACTGAAGTATACGTATGTCTGCGTCACAAATTTCACCATATTCCCTTTATAGTGCATTACTTTTGACCATATGGCTCTGGTCAAAAGAAGTGCACTATATAGGGAATATGCCCTTACGGAAAAACCTAATGAATTTCATGAGATCTTATGTGAAGTTAATGTGATAACATGTGACATGTAAAAGCAACATGTGATAACATGAAGCTACACATGTGAAAACATGATCTCATGTGAAATGAATGTGACAACATGAGGATGCAAAATGTCAATGTGATACCATGAATCTACACGCGAAAACATTTGAAAATGTTTCACATGTGAAAATACAATTCCACATGTGAGAGTTAGATTTTCACATGTGAAAGTGAAATTCCACATTAGGATTGAATGGCGGGAACCCGGTTACCGAGATTTACCGCCCAACACCACTCCCTTTTCCCGGGCTAAATAACTGTGAGAAAGCGGTTAATTATAATACATTATTTATATGAACAGCATGGTGTGAAATGGAACTGTTAAATGATATGCCATGTCTAAATCTGGCTTCTCTACAGCATCTGAATGATGAATCATCAACGCTCAGGGTGGGGACAGACAGCCCATCTCAGTATGGAGTGCAGTTCACAATGCATGCAGACCTATCATCTCATCATGGTAACTTTTTTCTTGTGACAGGTAGGCCTACATTTGCTGCAGCATAGCCTATGCTACAGTACTATAAAGACTGAATGCACGTCTAATTTACCCATCTCCATCTGGCTTTCGGGGGTCACCTTCTTTTTTTATTGTAAAGATGTATTTTATTTTATTGCAGCTGCAGAGTTTTAAAACAGCCTATCGCTCAAAAATCAATGCTTTAATCAGTGCACGTGCAAGCACTCTCTCGCAGTCTTTCTCTCTCTCCATCAACTCCATTCAAATTCCATCCAAAATAGATAATCCTGTTCCAGATTATTTATTCGGAAAGACCCGTTGACTTTTTCCAACTTTTGTTACGTTACAGCCATATTCTAAAATGGATTAAAATGTTTTCTGTCCTCATCAATCTACACACAATACCCCATAATGACAAAGCAAAAACAGATTTTTAGAAATGTTTGCAAATGTATAAAAACGGAAATATCACATTTACGTAAGTATTCAGACCCTTTACTCAGTACTTTGTTGAAGCACCTTTGACAGCGATTACAGCCTCAAGTCTTCTTGGGTTTGACGCTAAAGCTTGGCACACCTGTATTTGGGGAGTTTCTCCCATTCTTCTCTGCAGATCCTCTCAAGCTCTGTCAGGTAAGATGGGGAGCGTTGCTGCACAGCTACTTTCAGGTCTCTCCAGAGATGTTCGATCGGGTTCAAGTCCGGGCTTTGGCTGGGCCACTCAAGGACATTCAGAGACTTGTCCCGAAGCCACTCCTGTGTTGCCTTGGCTGTGTTCATAGGGTCGTTGTCCTGTTGGATGTTGAACCTACGTCCCAGTCTGAGGTCCTGAGCGCTCTGGAGCAGGTTTTCATCAAGGATTTCTCTGTGCTTTTCTCCGTTCATCTTTCCCTCGATCCTGACAAGTCTCCCAGTCCCTGCCGCTGAAAACATCCCCACAACATGATGCTGCCACCACCATGCTTCACCGTAGAGATGGTGCCAGGTTTCCTCCAGACGTGACGCTTGGCATTCAGGCCAAAGAGTTCAATCTTGGTTTCATCAGACCAGAGAATCTTGTTTCTCATGGTCTGACAGTCTTTAGGTGCCTTTTGGCAAACTCCAAGTGGGCTGTCATGTGCCTTTGACTGAGGAGTGGCCTGATTGGTGGAGTGCTGCAGAGATGGTTGTCCTTATGGAAGGTTCTCCCATCTCCACAGAGGAACTCTGGAGCTCTGTATTATGAAAGGTATATATGCGTCAGCCTACTAATTATACAAATAGGCCCTATTATATTTCTATAAATCAAATTAGCTAGCCTATACTTGTAACTTTGTAGGTCGCATATGCTGCATCAGAATCGCATGTAATCTCCCTTTATCATGGTTTGAACGATGTGTGTAATTCCAGTCCATATAATACAGTATAATACAATACAGTACAGTAATACAGTTCACACTTAAAAACAAATGCCAACTGGAGCTAGTTTAATTTATTTACCCAAGAGAGCAAATAGCTAGCTACATCTATGGGCTTTTATGTTTTTCTGTCGTGCATAATGTGCAGTAGCCTATATCGTATAGCCTATGTATTGGATAACGGCACAATAATTTGATCATTTTTGGGCTTGGGCTCATTAAATGTCTTTAATGTATGGCTCATCAGGCTCAGGTAGCATCAGGCTTGAATTTTCGATCAAAGCTCTAATCAAATCCAGACATAGGCTTATTTATATGCTTTATGAAGCTTTTGAATGACACTTTCGGTTTTGGCGGGAAATACCGGGTTACCCGAGAGAAAAGTGATTTATTCTCGGGATGGAACATTTGTAAAATACAGGGAAAATATTCAACCCTATTCCACATGTGAAAGTTAAGGTTTTCATACATGAACGTTTTTCACATGTGAAAATGCTAATTCCACATGTGAATCTGCAATTCAGAAAACATATTATTCTCCTCATGTGAAAAGGTGGTGTTAACATGTTAACTCTATATTGAGTACACGTGAACACATGGTTTCACATGTCTCTTTTGTTATCATGTGAATATTTCAGCTCAACATGTGAAAACAGTTATTTCACATGTGAAAATGCAATTTCAAATATGAAAATCTGATTTTCACAGGTGAAACTGCAAATGTCTTGTTTTTGTTGTAAGGGAGGTAATGAAATGTTATCGGGATTTTAAGGTAAATGGTATGCTGTTCAGCTAAAATAGTGTAAAAATCTTTCATCAATGGCAATATGATTACATTTGGCATGATCACTTAGGCAACGGCTGTGATCCATTTTCCTTATCAGAGGTAGATAATTATATTCCAAGGGAACAAAGGAGAGAAGTGTTAGTCACATGGTACATTCCAACGATGCCTAGCGGGGCCCAGTGTTGCCTCATTAAATGCATAATAATAATTAATTGAGTCGAAATATTTAATGGAAATTAACATAAATATAGAATTGTGCGATACAATTGGAATCGTAACCAACTGAAACGTGTTCTAATTCAGTAGCAATGTGAGGTCTGCAAGGGTGAAAATAGTGGGCACGTTACATTACCGCCACAAACATCTGAAGTTACTTTTCTCTTTAACCTCTTACTTTATAAATAAACTAAGGTTTGAGATTATTTCCTTGATGATATCACCTCTCTGAAGAGGGAATTGTCAGGATTTCACAAGACAAATGATGTCCAGTGGAAGGCAGGTTCAGAACAGGTCCACTTTCAGGCTGTGATATCACACCTCGCTTGTTACAATGGGCAACTGCTTTTCTTACTTAGATGTGGTGAACAGAGTGACAGGGTTTGTCACCTGTCTGTGTTATGTCACCACTGTCACTCACACTTACAGCACCAGGACAGAACAAAGTTATTGAACTCTGTAAAGTTCGAAGTTATAAGTTATAATTGCCATCAGTTGCGTTTTTTGACATGTGCGATGATGAAAGCTAATGTACTGATGAAAAGTGTGTTGTGTGTTCCTTACGCAGGTGTTATAGAGTGTGTTAGAGGTGTTATGTTAAGCGTAAACGTCATATGTCTTCAGCCATCTACCCACTGAACTGGAAAAATTATACAGATTCCAACTATTGGCATACACCAGACAGAAATATAGACAGTTTCATCCATTGTTTAATGTGTTGTAATTGAACACTGAACAGTGTATTCAAAAGATTAGCTTAAGTATCTGATATAATCAGCATTGTTGGACCGCTTTACCTTGTTTGTTTTGCTGTAATAAACCAGTGCATGGCCTGTAATCATTCTCATTTAATGACTCAATAGCTATGTCCCAAATGGCACCCTATTCCCTATGTGATGCACTACTTTTGACCAAGGCCCAGAGCCATATGGGACCTGGTAAAAGGGGTGCATTATGTACGCAGGGAATAAAATGCAATTTGGGACACAGTCAATCTCTCCTCTCATTATTATGATTGATAAAGCCGTCATTGATCCAATAAGTTGTTTGTAACAACTCTATCGTGTCTCACACATCATAAGCCTTCTAATCCTGCTATCCATTGCAGATACAAGACTGAAATATATTATTACCACTGACTGCATGGAATCCCCCTCTTTCATAATGATTTCCAGTTTAACTGTGCTGTTTAAAAACGTTTGGTCAAGCTATGAGTTACAGTTACACCCAAGGCAAAAGTGGTTGAAATGATTATTTAGATAGTTTTGGGATGTACTCTGTAGCCTACGTCTCTCATAAGTACCCAGTGGTGACATCTCTGGTACATGTGTGAAGTAGGGGCTAATACAGGTGTAGGATCTTAATTTGATCACTCTTTCGTTGCTGAGAATTTTCTGAAATGCAAACTTCTGGTGTATTGAAAAAGGCTTTTCAGGTTTGTAATTTTCACTTTGAAATTTCAGACAGATTTGCCCGAAAGAAAAATGCATCAACCCCTACAAAAATGTCCATTAATTATAATCCCTATAATAATTCACAAACTGGCTAAAATTAAGATCCTACATCTGTACCAATTGGTGACATCTCTGGTACATGCGTGAAGTAAGAGTTAGGGTTAGGGTGTAGGTGTTCATCTCATCTCTTAGGGTATAGGTGTTCATAAGTACCAAGTGGGGACATCTCAGGTACATGTGTGAAGTTGGGGCTCATACGTACCCAATGGGGACATCTTTATATGTGTGAAGTAGGGGTTATGGTGTAGGTGTTCATACGTACCCAGTGGGGACATCTCAGGTACGTGTGTGAAGTAGGGGTCCTTGGTAAACTTCGGTTCGTTGTCGTTGATGTCATGGATCTTGATAATAAACTCTGACTCTCCCTCTAGAGAGGTGTTAGTGATTCTGTTGACGGCCTTGGCCCGGAGCGTGTAGTAGGCCTTCTCCTCCCGGTCCAGCCTCTTAGTGGCGTGGATATCTCCTGAGTTCTCATCAATGATGAACAGAGTACCGGCTCCGTCGCCAGTCAGGACGTACCGTATGCTACCGTCACCCCGGTCCCCATCTGAGTGGAGCTGTGGAGCGATGAGAAGCATTGGGGAGGAAGTCAGTTCTCAGTAGCACTAGATCACATTAAAAACGATTTGTAATTAAACGGTTGCTAAAATTCTATCACCTCGCCAAATGTCAGTTTGCGACAAAACAAGCAATCATTGTCCAGAATCATTGTACAATCTAAACCGCTGTGAAATATATTTTCAACAACCCCAAATGTTGTATTTTCAGCTGTTTGAAGCTGGTGTACAAAACCAAAGGTAAAAAGATTCAAAAGTGATGTGTGTTCGTACAACCTGCCATTTACTAAGATCAGATGTCTCTAACATGCTGTAGAAACATGACATGACAGTTCCACTTCTGACTGGCTCTCCTCTCCTCTCCTCTCCTCTCCTCTCCTCTCCTCTCCTCTCCTCTCCTCTCCTCTCCTCTCCTCTCCTCTCCTCTCCTCTCCTCTCCTCTCCTCTCCTCTCCTCTCCTCTCCTCTCCTCTCCTCTCCTCTCCTCTCCTCTCCTCTCCTCTCCTCTCCTCTCCTCTCCTTCTCCTCTCCTCACCTTCTCCTCTCCACTCCTCTCCTCTCTACTATTTGCTCTCTCTCCTGATGCGGCCTGTTTCTTAACATAACAGCTTAGCTTGCTCTGACATTTTAATTCAGCAACCAAATCCCCTCAACATATTTATCTCCGGGAACTCATCAAAAAGCTGGGCTGCGTCCTGAATGGCACCCTATTCCCTATATAGTGTACTACTTAGGAAATGCAATATATAGGGAATAGGGTGCCATTTGGGACACAACTCTTGTCTTTCCTTTTTTTTCCTCCTGCTGTCTCCCTCCTTTTTATTTATTTTAACCACCAAGGACATGTGATACAGTGGGGGAAAAAAGTATTTAGTCAGCCACCAATTGTGCAAGTTCTCCCACTTAAAAAGATGAGAGAGGCCTGTAATTTTCATCATAGGTACACGTCAACTATGACAGACAAATTGAAGAAAAAAAAATCCAGAAAATCACATTGTAGGATTTTTTATGAATTTATTTGCAAATTATGGTGGAAAATAAGTATTTGGTCACCTACAAACAAGCAAGATTTCTGGCTCTCACAGACCTGTAACTTCTTCTTTAAGAGGCTCCTCTGTCCTCCACTCGTTACCTGTATTAATGGCACCTGTTTGAACTTGTTATCAGTATAAAAGACACCTGTCCACAACCTCAAACAGTCACACTCCAAACTCCACTATGGCCAAGACCAAAGAGCTGTCAAAGGACACCAGAAACAAAATTGTAGACCTGCACCAGGCTGGGAAGACTGAATCTGCAATAGGTAAGAAGCTTGGTTTGAAGAAATCAACTGTGGGAGCAATTATTAGGAAATGGAAGACATACAAGACCACTGATAATCTCCCTCGATCTGGGGCTCCATGCAAGATCTCACCCCGTGGGGTCAAAATGATCACAAAAATCCCAGAACCACACGGGGGGACCTAGTGAATGACCTGCAGAGAGCTGGGACCAAAGTAACAAAGCCTACCATCAGTAACACACTACGCCGCCAGGGACTCAAATCCTGCAGTGCCAGACGTGTCCCCCTGCTTAAGCCAGTACATGTCCAGGCCCGTCTGAAGTTTTCTAGAGTGCATTTGGATGATCCAGAAGAGGATTGGGAGAATGTCATATGGTCAGATGAAACCAAAATATAACTTTTTGGTAAAAACTCATCTTGTCGTGATTGGAGGACAAAGAATGCTGAGTTGCATCCAAAGAACACCATACCTACTGTGAAGCATGGGGGTGGAAACATCATGCTTTGGGGCTGTTTTTCTGCAAAGGGACCAGGACGACTGATCTGTGTAAAGGAAAGAATGAATGGGGCCATGTATCGTGAGATTTTGAGTGAAAACCTCCTTCCATCAGCAAGGGAATTGAAGATGAAACGTGGCTGGGTCTTTCAGCATGACAATGATCACAAACACACCGCCCGGGCAACGAAGGAGTGGCTTCGTAAGAAGCATTTCAAGGTCCTGGAGTGGCCTAGCCAGTCTCCAGATCTCAACCCCATAGAAAATATTTGGAGGGAGTTGAAAGTTCATGTTGCCCAGCGACAGCCCCAAAACATCACTGCTCTAGAGGAGATCTGCATGGAGGAATGGGCCAAAATACCAGCAACAGTGTGTGAAAACCTTGTGAAGACTTACAGAAAACGTTTGACCTGTGTCATTGCCAACAAAGGGTATATAACAAAGTATTGAGAAACTTTTGTTATTGACCAAATACTTATTTTCCACCATCATTTGCAAATAAATTCAATAAACATCCTACAATGTGATTTTCTGGATTTTATTTCTCATTTTGTCTGTCATAGTTGACGTGTACCTATGATGAAAATTACAGGCCTCTCTCATCTTTTTAAGTAGGAGAACTTGCACAATTGGTGGCTGACTAAATACTTTTTTTCCCCACTGTAATTGCAGATGAAAGTAAAGGGCAGAGGCAGACACGTTTGCATGTACACAAGAACACAGTGCACATACAGTATATGCAAATACACATACAAATGACCAAATACATCTTTCCACATATTCAGACATACTGTAACTGTCTGTGTGTGTGATGCGTACAGTATGTGTGTCAGCTGAGGAGCTATACCCCGGGTGGGGTGTGTGTGTGTGTGTGTGTGTGTGTGTGTGTGTGTGTGTGTGTGTGTGTGTGTGTGTGTGTGTGTGTGTGTGATCTCTGAGTGTGTGTGTGACCATATGTGGTGTGTGACTTGCTAGCTTCTGGTTCTGGACAGACGGAGTATGTTAGATTGTGCAGTCAGTGGAGTCAGTCACATGGAAGAGCACTGCAACAGTATGGCACCCTATTCCCTAAATGTACTACATACAGTAGGAAATAGGGAGACATTTGGGATGAAGATAGTATGCAACCTCCTCCTCCTCCTCCTCCTCCTCTCTCTCTTCCTTTCTTTCTCTCGCTCTTTCTCTCTCTCGTTATGACATATGAATGGCTTTTTATTCCAGATGCTGGAAGGTTTTATATGACTATTTCATTGTGTTATGTGTGAGAACAAAGCTGTGGAAGCAAAATGGCTGCCTTTTAAGATTAGTATCTTTAACATTGTTGCATTTGTTTGTTGTAAACACTGAAAGATACAGTAAGTGAAAGATATGATAACCAAGTTGGGAGAAGCCAGCTACTGACTGTCTATGTTTGTGGTTCTGTTGTGCCGAACCATCTGAAAAGTCAGAAAGTCAGCTGAGTGAAAATAATGTTCTTCAACATCATTATCTTCCAAACTGCTTCAGCTTGCAATGCCTCATTACAGCCCTGCGTGCGTCTTACTTTGTCTACCACTACAGCTAATAACCATCGAGTGCTTTACTCTTCTCTCCTATCCTCTCCTGATGTGATGGGAGGTGGAGAGACATTGTGACATATGCTGTCCAATGTTGTTTCTATGGACACAGAGAGAGCGCTCGTGGTCTGCTCATTTGATTTTGAGGGGTTCAAAGTCATTCCCTCATTCCCCTGAAGGATATTACACAGCCAGCTCAGTGTTCAAACCCCTGCTCTCTCCTGCTTACTGCACTAAGGTTTGTGACCCCTCCGTCTCCCTCCTCTTTCAGTCACCCACTCCACCACACCTAGCTATGATGGAATTTACAGCCCACCCAGGTGCCTCCTACTCAAATTAGGAGAAAATCCTCTCCCAGAAATCAATCCAGCAGCCAGACATGCATCCACAATGGCCCCTGATCAATTTCTATTGAAAATGTAATTAAAGCGGCACCGGGGGAAGAGAGAAGCCACATGTGCATTGAGCATGGCCACCAGGCATCCTCCACAAGTAGATGCAGGGCCCTTTCTCCTCCGTCCTCCATGATATCACATCATAATGAAATAAAGCAAAGGAGGGTCCCTATGGTCAAAAGTTCTGTAGGGCATCCTTCTATTACATTAGGATAAAAAAAGAACAAATATGTTACGAGACAATAGTTTGTAAAGGCAACATCAACCAGCTCTGCAAGATCAACTGTTGAACATTTAAGCTAGTGGTTGTGTGTGTGTGTGTGTGGTGTGAGGGGGGGGGGGGGGGAGAGAGGGGCAGAGGTGATTGTTTGGGAGGGGTTGGGTGAGTGAGTGTATGCATCCCACATCTGTTGACAAAAATGTAGACTTTCTACTACAGGCCATTGTTATGGGTAACAATCCTTCGTAGCAGTGCTTATATTATTATGCATATTATTCATCAACTGTGGAAATAAATTAAGATATGCAAGATTTTAAAAATATATATACAGTACCAGTCAAAAGTTTGGACACACCTACTCATTCAACATTTATTTTTATTTTTTTACTACTTTCTACATTGTAGAATAATAGTGAAGACATCAAAACTAGGAAATAGCACATATAGAATCATGTAGTAACCCAAAAAGTATTAAACAAGTCAAAACATATTTTATATTTGAGATTCTTCAAAGTAGCCAACCTTTGCCTTGATGACAGCTTTGCACACTCTTGGCATTCTCTCAACAAGCTTCATGAGGTAGTCACCTGGAATGCATTTCAATTAACAGGTGTGCCTTGTTAATAGTTAATTTGTGGAATCTATGTCCTTCTTTATGCGTTTGAGCCAATCAGTTGTATTGTGACAAGGTAGGGGTGGTATACAGAAGATAGCCCTATTTGGTAAAAGACCAAGTCCATATTATGGCAAGAACAGCTCAAATAAACAAGGAAAAATGACAGTCCATCATTACTTTGAGACATGAAGGTCAGTCAATACGGAAAATGTCAAGAACTTATTAGGTTTCTTCAAGTGAAGTCGCAAAAACCATCAAGCACTATGATGAAACTGGCTCTCATGAGTACCGCCACATGAAAGGAAGACCCAGAGTTACCTCTGCTGCAGAGGGTAAGTTCATTAGAGTTACCAGCCTCAGATATTGCAGCCCAAATAAATTATATACAGGGTTCAAGTAACAAACACATCTCAACATTAACTGGTCAGAGGAGACTGCTTAAATCAGGCCTTCATGGTCGAATTGCTGCAAAGAAACCACTACTAAAGGACAGCAATAAGAGGAAGAGACTTGCTTGGGCCAAGAAATACGAGCAATGGACATTAGACCGGTGGAAATCTGTCATTTGGTCTGATGAGTCCAAATTGGAGATTTCTGGTTCCAACTGCCGTGTCTTTGTAAGATGCAGAGTAGGTGAACGGATGATCTCCGCATGTGTGGTTCCCACCGTAAAGCACGGAGGAGGAGATGTGATGGTGTGGGGGTGCTTTGCTGGTGACACTGTCTGTGATTTATTTAGAATTCAAGGCACACTTAACCAGCATGGCTACACAGCATTCTGCAGTGATACGCCATACCATCTGGTTTGCACTTAGTGGGACTATCATTTGTTTTTCAACATGACAATGACCCAACACACCTCAAGGCTGTGTAAGGGCTATTTGACCAAGAAGGAGAGTGATGGAGTGCTGCATCAGATGACCTGGCCTCCACAATCCCCCCGAGCTCAACCCAATTGAGATGGTTTGTGATGAGTCGGACGGCAGAGTGAAGAAAAAGCAGCCAACAAGTGCTCAGCATATGT